GAGGAACTTCTGGTCCTTATTTAATAGTATTTAGACTAAGACTCTTATGTTCTTTATTACAATTAAGTTGAGGCACTGCGGGACTTCAAACTTACAGTACTCATCAAGGAACTTCATGTCCTGATCTTGAGGATCAAGGGACTTCATGCCCGATCTTTTTGCATGATGGAACTTCAAGTCCAATCATTTTTATATGTTGAGGATCAAGAAACTACAAGTTCTGATCTGATCAAGGAACTTCAAGTCCTGTGTATACTCATCGTAACAAAAGATAAGTATAATAAATAAATTAAAGCAACAGGCGGTAATTCCAGCGATAATGAATAAATTGCATTTAAGTAAATAAAGCTTGTGACAAGGGTTTTAATTAAGCACCATTCATATAAATCAAAAACCGGCCATGGTAAATAAATTGCTTTTAAGTAAATAAAGCTTGTGACAAGGGCTTTGATTCAGCACCATTCTTATAAAGATCAAAGCTTTAAAGCAAAGGGTAATAATTCTACCCACTGTAAATAAATTGCTTTAAATAAATAGAACTTGTGACATAGGCTTTAATCTAACACCATTCACATAAATATGCCAAAACAGAAAATGCAATGATTAAGTTCTCGTCTTTTGCTTTTTCATTTTCTTGGTATGCCAATTCCTTTTTTTTTTTTAATTTTCATTTCACAACTCCAAGTCTCTTTAGTTACTCAGGAAGTAATAGTAACAATAAGTTCCAATTGGTGTTCCTCCTCGGTGAGTTTCGAAATGGTTCCAATAAGTTTTAAAGTTAAGAGTGTCTGCAACTTATGAGAAGATCAAACCGTTATATTTAGTTCAAATTTTAGTATGATATGGATAAGAGAATACCGAACAACTTTCGTGAAGAAACAATTTTGATCTGAGCTACCGAAATGGAGTTTTGGTACTCATAAGGTGCCTGTCCAATTTTCTGCGGAAATTGGAAACTGGTTTGGTATTTCAGGCATTTGTGATGATCGCACCGTTGAAATTTTCAATCCGAGATTCGCAAGTTCGAGTTCCGAGGCTATTTACATGGCTGTCAGATTCTTTACAAATTTTGAGTCTGTACTCTTTTGCTTCTGCAAAAGATGATATACAGTCATACAACAACATATATATATAGTTACTTCAAGAAAATTAATAGTACAAAGATTTTAAGATGAAATGAAAAGATTTTCTTATCTGTGAGATTTCAGCCGACAGAGGTGAACATGATTTGTGGAGTTATGCCTTCCACTGACACTAGAACTTCTCGTGCTGATAACGTGTTGTAAATTCGACAATGTGTGCAGTGGAATAAAAGAAACAAGACACAATATTTACGAGGTTCCTCTACAGTCAATGTGACTGGAGTACGTCCTCAGGGCAGCAGTAATTCTTTCATTATAATTTGGAATAATAGGAGTACAATGATAACTCTCTCTATTATCTCCTCTCCTCTTCCTCTCTTTTCTCTCTTCCTCTTGTATCACCCCGTTTTGAACACTTGTAATGCTCTATTTTTAGAGCAAACATTTTGAAAAGCAAACAAAACACTATTAAACTTGTGAAAGGTTAACTATATGCATGTGGGCATACATAACCACTAGTTACAATAACAATATAAATCTGTTGAATGAAGCAAAAGTCCTTTGTTGGCCATTTTACAAAAACAAATCATAATTTATATCAAATAGCTCGACTTCAAATTGTATTGAGACTTTTTGCATAAAAATGCACATTTATTGATTGCACAAATAATTAAGTGGAAACAGTATCAATGCTATTAGTGGTAAATTGTAGCCCGTCTCTCTGAAACTTTAACAAAAACCTAATCATCAAATCAGTAATCGAAGTCTATCAGGACTATGCTAATATGGTATGATCAACTTCAAAATGAGACCTTGTTTTACTAACATTTTAGAAATTGATATTTTGATACGTAACCCTCATTTACATTGTTAGATTCGTTTTCTGTTAGCTTAAGATTTTGATGTTTAGTTGTTGTTTGGTTGTCTTTCTCCCTTTATCTAACCAAATCCTTACGTTAGAGAAGATGTAAACTTAATATACGCTATTGTCTTATTCTTGTTTGCTTATATTGTTGTAACCTAGTTGTTGTATAGACCATGCTGACTTCGAATATAAGTATAACAGCAAAAACCCAATTGGGCACGGGGGTATATTAATAAAGTCAAATGGTCGCTACCATTCAGTTTAATGTATTAATTAAAAATTTTAGTTACAACTCAGATGGCTAAAACCACAATGGCAATTCCTATATAAAGTTCAATCACAAATGCTATGTTCATCACTACACACAGGTTTAATTAAAGCTTAGTTAAACACACAAAACATAAAAAATCAAATATTCAGAAAGATGGGGCTGATCAAGAGAGTACTATTTCGACATTTTCAAGCACCGTTTAACCGAAAAAGCAATTTGATCGGAAGCAATGCGTTTATGGAGGCCATTGCAAATGTAAATGGTGATCGTCGTCATCAGAGTACTAACGTAATTTCTCATCAAACTCAGGAAGATGGGGTTGTGCGGATGAAGATTCTGGTAAGAAAGCAAGATTTGAAGCAAGTTCTGGAGCTCATGATCAATGGCAACGGCGTTCATAACCAATCATCAGTTGTTGGGGGCATCGGCGTCATTTGCTTTGGAGCAGAGGCTATATGCTTTGAGAAAAAAGCAAATTCAAAGAGCCAAACATAGCCGCCAGAGTTCTTGGAGTCCTAAATTGCAAAGCATCCCTGAAGATATTTAATTTTATAACCTAATTACAACTAAGATTTTCGAGTGTGTTGTTTATGTGTTTGACATCACACTTTGATCGCATGTAATTTTTTTTTTTTTTCCAATTCATATTGGTTTTTCTTTCAACATAATAAAACTATCCTTGTTGGTTCTAAACACTACGATAGCTTGTTATAGCTCTAGTAGCTTTAATTTGGGTTTTGCAAGTCACATACAAATATGAGTTCATGTGATCAATAATTTACCTTCGATCAATTAACACGTCTGGATAGAGGTAACCAACCAGTGGCGGAGCCAGAAAGTTATCGTAATGGGGGCACAATACAAAAGAATAATACTTGGCTAAAGAATGAGTAGGAGTTCCTACTCAAAACAGTTTGTTACCGATCTATAGAACTTAGTGTTTATGATCATAACAGTTTATATTATAAATCATTATATAAAGATCATATGTGCAAAAAACAAAAAACAATTAAAACTAGGATCGTTTAGTCACCGAATTGTACAAAAACAAATTAACGAAATTAGTAAAAGCATTACAAATTGTCTATGTATTTGCTACAATAAATTGACTAAACGACTTTAGTTTTAATTTATTTTTTGCATAGATAATCTTTATAAAGTGATTTATAATATGAACGATTTTGATTATAAGCACAAACCTCTGTAATTTGAACATGAAGAGTTTTAAGTAAGAGTTCATACTCATTCTTAAGTAGCCAAACACTATTCACAACAAAATAACTCCGAAAGTTGGTTACCGTCCATTTATAATTTTCCTTACAAAATCTTATGTTCTGTAAGCTATATGATTCCTTTGAAAGATATGCATTATATCTAAAATTTAGTTTTCTCAAGTAAATTAAAACAAACCAATGATAGTTAAATATTTTAGAGCTCCCAAATATGCATTTGACACGTTAAAAAACACTTGAGACATATATTTGTTAGTTATGTTTGGAAGTAACTTTAGAATGACTGAAATCACTTTTGATGAAAGTGTTTTTGGTTTACAAAAGCACTACAAATGCATTTTGGAAGAAGCTCATTGCTGTGCTTTTTGTAGGAGTACTTCAAAATGTTTTTTTTAGGATTCATTGACATTTTTATCAATGATTGGTTCCAAGTATAATTTTTTTCAAAGTGCTTTCAATTAAGAAGTACATCCAAACACGTATTTGTACATATCAAATGCTCAATGTTAATTCACATCTATGTTGGTCCTAGTAATGTATCTAATGTATAACCCTAAATTATTTGCAAAAGAGATATATTTTGCATAGGTGTTTGCCTTTCTTTGCATGAACTTATCTTTGGGGTTAGCACCGAAATTCAATGGGAAGAAAACCATCTCGTTGGGGTCACAATCATCCATTGGCCCCACCTTCCCTCCGCTAGCATAACGGACCACTTAAAAATAGCTCCATTATAATAACAAAGAGCACATATATTTATGTTCATTAAGAGCAAAGCACAAATAGTATTTGTGCGTTTAACTAGATATATTAGTGTTGATAACATGTTTTCTTGGATCAATGGGGTTAGAGGAATCAAACTTAAGATATTTTTTTTTCAATAATGGAAAAAGAGAAGTACTACTAAACCAATATCTACTTGGTATAACACGTCTATTAAGATAAGATTGCCATTTATTTGTATATGATGTGGAATTAAAGTATAGAGGAAGTCTAAAGAAGCTAACTCGTTTAGAAGAGTTACTTGATGAAGTTTGTTTTCACTGTTAATAAATATTTTATGTGGTTAGAGTGAAAACAAAACATTATCATCAACAATCGTAGAAACAAGCAATCCTCGTTGCATTATGATGACTATAGTTCACCATTGAAGAAGGAAATGAGTGATTCAACCGTTGAAAACCTTAGCTTAGTAGTTATATCTGCAATCGAATTTAGTCTCAAAGACGTGTCTTGGTATAACCAATTTAGCAAAATTAATCTTTTATACTTCCCTCACTTGGGAGAAAGACATACATGACACGGGTACATGCCGCGGCGGTGTCTACATGCCATTATAATGAAGGCGTGTAAATTTTCATCTCTATTTTTTTTTCATTGGAAAGGAATGTCGCGTGACAGTTTTCTCATGTCATATAAGTCGTTTTCTTCACTCGGAGGTTTGCTTTAACTATGACTACTCTTTGGGCTTAAAATAGCTGGGCTCAAAAGATTCGGGCTGCCCCAGCCTGTTAACGATTGCATATATCCAGAGTTTAAAAGTTGTCAGAAATACCTATCCTTCGAAACCCGCGAAGAAGGAGGTGGAAGACAGAGCGTGTGTGTACCCCTTTGGTTTTTGTCTCTTGAGTAATGAGTTGGAACGGCTATTTTCCCAGCGCCACCTAATCCCTGGAACCCTTCAAAAATGGCTGCAACTCTCGCTCACAGTCACAACTCTTACCTCTACAACTCCACCTCCCCGCCACCGAGCCTTTTACGAAAACGAGCCGCTGAGCCGAAAGCAAACCAAAGCTCCGACCAGCCGAAGTTTCCTAAGTTGGTTCGTGGAATCCGAAAACTATCGAAGAATCCGAGCACCTCGATTGAACCCCTCAACAACTATGCGCTCAAACAGGCTCTTCAAGAGCATGTGGAATCTGGGTCCATAGAGGATGCACTCCGGGTGTTTGAGAAAATGTCCCATTCAGATACGTATTACTGGAATGTTATGATTAGAGGTCTCGCTGATAATGGGTTGTTCCGGGAGGCGATTGGTTTTTATCATAGGATGCAAAGGGAAGGTGTTCGAGCTGATAATTATACCTACCCATTTGTGATCAAGGCATGTGGTGGGTTGTTGTCGTTGGATGAAGGACAAAAGGTTCATGGGAAGTTGTTTAAGGTCGGGTTGGATTTGGATGTTTATATCGGTAACTCGCTTTGTGCTGCGTATGCAAAACTTGGTTGCATAGAGTATGCAGAGAGAGTGTTTGACGAAATGCCTGTTAAAGACTTGGTTTCTTGGAATTCTATGATTGGCGGGTATGCTGCTGTTGGGGATGGTTGGAGGGCGATGGTTTGTTTTCAGGAAATGCAGGTGCTGGGTATGAAGCCTGATAGATTCAGTATGATTGGCGGTCTTAACGCTTGTGCTATTGATTGCTTTCTCCAACCCGGGAAGGAAATCCATTGCCAGGTTCTTAAATGTATGCTTGAATCGGATGTCATGGTTCACACCTCGCTTATTGACATGTACCACAAATGTGGTAGAGTGGACTATGCAGAGAGGTTGTTTGATGAGATTTGCACCAAGAATGTTGTGGTTTGGAATGCAATGATACATGGGTATACTCTAAATGCTCGGCCGCTTGAGTCACTTTCTTGCTTGAAAAAAATGCAAGAGGCAGATAAGCTGATTCCTGATGCTATCACAATGATCAATTTTCTTCCCTCTTGCACACAACTAGGAGCCCTATTGGAAGGTAAATCAATCCATGGCTATGCCATTAGACGAGGTTTTCTCCCTCATATTGTATTCGAAACTGCACTGATTGATTTGTATGGTGCCTGCGGCAGGATAAATTTGGCAGAACGTATGTTTGGTCAGCTAATTGAAAAGAACTTGATATCGTGGAATAGCATGATTTCTGCATATGTACAAAGTGGACATAACAGGGAAGCCTTGGAATTATTTTGGGATCTCTTGAATGAACCGCTTGAACCGGATGCAATTACATTTTCAAGCATCATACCTGCCTATTGTGAAGTAGCATCCATTGGGGAGCGGAAGCAAATTCATGGTTGTATCACAAAATTGGAGCACAACTCAAATACCTTAATCTTGAATGCAACTGTTTACATGTATGCAAAATGTGGGTATCTGGAGATGGCGCGAGAAGTTTTTGATAGGATGATATTCAGGGATGCCAGTTCGTGGAACACTATAATTATGGCTTATGCAATTCATGGGTTTGGGAGAATATCCATCGAGTTTTTCTCCAAAATGAGAGACAACGGCATTCAGCCTAATGAGAGCACATTTGTTTCCTTGTTAACGGCGTGTAGTGTTTCTGGCATGGTTGACGAGGGTTGGAAATACTATAACTCGATGAAAAGAGACTATGGTATTGATCCTGGAATAGAGCACTGTGGTTGTATGATCGATCTTCTTGGTCGAACAGGTAATCTTGATCGTGCCAAGATTTTTATCGAGGAAATGTCGCTGCTGCCCACAGCCAGAATTTGGGGGTCATTACTGACAGCTAGTAGAAACAACAGAAACATAGAGTTAGCTGAACTTGCTGCTGAGCATATTTTGTCCTCGGAACATGATAATACCGGGTGTTATATCTTGCTTGCGAATATGTATTCTGAAGCTGGGAGGTGGGAAGATGTAGAACGGCTTAAATCTCATATGAAGCAAAGAGGACTCCGGAAAACTGTCGCGTGCAGCTTTGTTGAGACCAAATGTAGGCCTTACAGATTCATCAACCAAGATACGACCCACGTTGAAACCTACATGATTTATGCTGTTTTAGATTTGATTCTGAGGAAGATAGGGGAAGATAAATATGTTCATAGTATCACCAAGTTCAGACCGATGGATTTGAAGAGAAAGAGAGCAAATTCCGCAGAGAGTCACAGTGTAAGATTGGCAATTTGTTTTGGTTTGATCTCCACAGAAATCAGACGCCCCGTTGTTGTTAGGAAGAACACGAGAATCTGTGAAGAATGCCATAGCGCTGCAAAGAAGATTTCAGAGATCACCAAGAGAGAGATAATTGTAGGAGATTCGAAGGTCTTTCACCACTTCATTGACGGCAATTGCTCTTGTCGTGATTACTGGTGAGACTAGTTTTGTAGAAACTTGGTGTATATACACAAATACATTGCACGACTGTGTGACAAAACATCTAGGCCTCCTTTGGTGCCTAGGATGGATTTGAGTAGATAACTCACTAGATCCCATGTTAGTTAAAAAAAGGTCGTATCCAGTGCATAATGCTCCCGCTTTACGCAGGGTCTGAGAGAGGTGAATGTCGGCTAACCTTACTCTCATGTTAGTTGATAGAAGAAATACATGCCAACTTCCAAAATTTGAAGGTCTAAGATTAGTCGTGAAGGAAACTTATCCTTAATGTTTGTGCGTAAATTTGACGTCATCCGGTCTAATTTGCTTTGGGGTGATGTAATCTAGTCAAGTTGGGTCAAAATGAGGATAATTGAGATAATAAAAGAGATCTAGCCCGAAATTGATTTAGGCCAGACTTTAATCCATGCTGAAAAGGTGATTTTGATTAAAATGAATTGATATTATCATGACACTAATCATGTCAATAGTTGTATCATTCTCTGGTCATGTTCGCACAAATCTACTAGTATGGCTACATTAATTCTTAAGAAGTGTGACAACAAGTTATTTGTACAAACATCAAGATTTAAGAGCTTTTTCAATGCAGTTCCTACCACTCTCTACCACCGTACGTACTTAAATTTGAGAACTTTGTAACTTCCAATGGGACGAAGCTCCAGTTCCTGTAGTAGAGGGAGTAAATAGAGTCCTTAAAATTTTCCTCACATTTGAAGACCACATAAGGGCTATCTTTATTCATTTTTTTAATCACAAATTCTGAATTTACCGTGTCTTGCTATCTTTTTCAATTCAAATGGGCCCGTCACTTCCTTCTTTTTTCTTGTTGTTTTGCACAATTATTTGGCACAATTTGACCGCGACTTCATCTAGACCTGGCATTCATGTCGTGTTTCTCGTGTTCGTATCATACTTGATTGTTTAACAGGTCTTGTCGTATAATACCCGTTAAAATAAACGAGTAATATGACCTAACCCGAAATCAACCCGTTAATATTATCAGGTAATATGATCCAACTCGTTATCCCGTTAAGAAAAATATATTTTAAATCAATAAAAATGAAAATGAAAAACATAATTTGACCCAAAAAAATGTAAAACATAATACTAATTAGTATATACATACTAAATTTCGGAGTTGACTCCTTCATGAAAGTTGTAAAGCTTTTCATTACGAGTGATTACATTTTCACACTTCTACAATAATTATTATTAATTTTGCACTCAAATAAAAAACATTGTTCATGAGATTTGGAGGGTTTTAAAAATCTAAACGACCATGTAACCATCGTCTAAGCGTTGATGATGCAGTTATGAACGTTTATTATGTTTTCACATCTTTCAGACTTATACATTAGAGCAACTTCACCCTTGGAGCCCTTCCCCCAGGCAATCCACTATTCAATCCATCATGTGAACAGTAACTGCCTTTTGCATCTCCACCGTTGCACTTGAATAGCCCTGGCAATAGGCAATAAAATATTATTAATTTTTTTTTACAAAATAATACTAAATAAATTTATTAATTTTAAAACTTTTTTTTTAGAAAATAATACTAAATAAAATTTATTAATACAAAATATTATTAATTTTAAAACTATTTTTTTTTTAATTTATAAAGTAGATTAACATCAACCGTTGATCTCAGATCGAACGGTTGATATTAAATCAGCTTTTTTTTATTACCGTTGGAAATCGGACGACTCGTATTAAAGAGTCGTTGGGATTGAACGGACCGTGGGAAGCCACGTGGCTTCCCAACGGTCATTGCGCGCGGGTCATTCACTCTGAAAACGTGTCGGTTGACGCGCCCCCACGCACGTGTGAGAGGCACGCACCTGACACAAAAAAAAATAAAAAAAGGACCGACGCCAGGCATGGAGTCAGCCTGATGTCACACCCCTCGGGCTAAAGGGCTGGCAATCCCTCACGGGCCTGGCCCTCAGGCTCCCACCCTCACTCGGGCTGCCCAACGGTGGACTTGTTCTTAATGATTATGAATTTTGTTTATTTTGAACTCCTTTAAAAATATTATTCATGAGAGTTTGTATGGTTTTAAAAAATTCAAACGATCATATACCCATTCTCAAAGCGTAGAAGATGCGACTACGAGCGTTTGCATATTTTTTTTCATATTTTTCGTACATGTAAATTAATTATTATAATTTTTTTTACTGTGTTTGGTATTTTTAAATTACTTATATTTTTATTTTTAATTTATTTTATGATTTTTAATCTCAATCTTTGCCTATAATATACTATAAAAATAAATAAATAAATAAAACTTAAATTTTAAAATTTATATAGAATAATAATTAATAAAATATATATACGTATTCATTATATCTATTGTATTTTATAGTAAGTTTTTTTTAGTAGTTTAAAAAATTAAAATCATCAAAATAACTTTTTTCTTATCATGTCGAAACAGGTTATCCATGTGTCATTCTCATGTAAACCTGTTAAGGACCTGTTATTAACGGGTTATTATCGTGTGACCCGATAATGACCCGATTAGTTATCGTATTGATCCAAAACCTGTTATTTTCATGTCGTTTACGTGTCGTGTAAGAAGTTACCAGGTCTACTTCCATCCCTTTTCTTCTTGTTTGCTTATTTTGCCTTCCAATTTTATATGCTTTCATGTTCTATATTCATTTCTCTAAATTACGTACAATTTATCTTGCTTAGTTTGTTAATTTATTTTATTCATCAATGGCAGGTTCAAGTAAGCTCTAATCCAACTAACTACTATATTTTTTTTTATAACTAATTTAATAATTAAATCCATATAAACTTATTAATTCTTTTATTCATTTCAAATTACAAAACATAAACTACATACTTAATCAACAAGAGTTAACTAGTAACATAACAATGATATTTATTGTTACTTATTGAAAGCATGAAAAATTGATTTGCAAATTATTTAGTTATCCACTCTCCGTCCATTCCACAAGTGTTCAACGAAATCATTTCAAAGAGCCATGTGTCCAACTAGTCAGAATTTGAATGTTTTTTAGTCAAAATGTTTACAAAAATATTTTATGACAACGTTAAATTAATTAAAAAAAGTTACACAAAAATAGAAATTGTACCTAATCAAATTATCACATAAAATCGTAAAAAAACTCAAATTTAAGAATCCTACTATAGGGACTCTTCCATTAGAGGCAATATTCTTTAAAGATACAGAGATTCCTTTAAGTTCCTAAATGAGTTTTTAAAAGTAGTGGTGGGAGTCCCTAAATAGAGAGTCTCATTGGAGATGCTCTAAGGTTATTTCCAACCGAAAAGGCTAAACATATTCTCGTCTAGAATTATAGCCTTGCAAAAAGTTATTTTTAAATGAACAATGTCAGACCATCTCTAACCGAATGAGCTAAACATATCTCCCTCAATAATTTATTTGTTTTACGTTTATACTTTAAATTTATTGGTTAATTTAATTAAACGACCTTTGCCACTTAGTACTACAATCTCGTGGTATTCCTCTTCAATTGTAAGTGAGATGTCTTAGGTTCGATTCTCGCCAAATGCAAATTTGAACCACATTATTACTAGCCCATTGTGAGGCTAAGCCCACCCCACTCCTCTTAGTGTAGATAATATCGTTTGTTTAAAAAAAAAATTAAACAACATTTGAATGTTTTCAAATCTAGTCGTTGAATTTGAATTAATAATTGTAACTACGAAGGTTAGCCCTGAAAAATGGGCTAAGAAGGGGCTATATTTGGCCAGCTTGATACACTTTTGGCCAAATAATGGCCAATGGGCTCCATAAAATTATAGCCTGGTCATCGATTGAAAATGAATTTTTGAACAAATTAAACTATTTGTTAACTTTAGATCTTTTACCCTTCCTATTAGAGATGGCCTAACGGTTAAAAGAAAATATGCAAAATGGAGCACCATAGATTTTTTTTTTTTGGACAAACAAAGTAAATTTCATTTAAAGAGAAAACTAATACAAGATAAGGATAACTCCAAAAGAGAATCCAAAATAGCCAAGCAAAAGCCAACTCTATAAACAAAAACTACAATGAAAAGGGCCCAAAGCGAGCAGCCATAGCATCAACCAAACCAAAAAACCTAGATAGCCATCTCCACCAAAACAGCCGCACCATAAATAAATTTGCAAAAGAAAGTGACCATGCATGAGTGACCATAGATGAATTTACAAAAGTGAGCACTATAGATCTTTTGCCAAAAGCAAAAGTGACCATGCATGATTAGACTTGTCCTACACCTGGGTAATTCAACGACCCAAGCAAGTCAAGTTAGGAACAACATGATATCTCTTCCAACTTGTTTCTTTCTATATGTCTCTCTCTTGCGCTGGATTATTTCCATCAGGGTTCTGGAGAAACTTCAACTCGATCAGTCTTTCATTTTAGATCTCTAGATCTTAATATTTCCTAATCAATATCTTTCTTGATTCTGAGGTAATCCCTTCTACTTTGCTTTGAACACTTCGATATCAGCTTCAGTGTCCTGCACCGGCCCTCGTTGTGGCAGGGGTCGGTGGAAGATCTTTCCTTTTTCTCCAAGTTTCATCTTTTTGTTCATTTTGCTGCCTTTACCCCTTGCTATCTTGTCCCGATTTACCTGTTCTTCAAACCTCACGGGCGTCCATCTTCCTCGTCCAATTTCATTTTAGTCTGCAGTCAGTTTTCAACGCAATTTGTTGCGATCATTCGAGAAGGTGCGTAGAGTTCTGGTGGTCACGCCGGCTCAGGTGTTTACAACAGCACCTCCTTCTCTTTGTCTGCCTTTGTTGGCAGTGTTGTTCGTGGTAAATCCACAGGCTTTTTTCAATTTCTGGCTGAGATTGGCGCGAGGATCGTGGCTGGATGATGAGATTTTCCTCCATTTAATCTCTACGATGCTGCTTGGTATGATTTTTGGTGTTTGCTGGGGAAATCGATTCGGATTGATTGGGAAATACCATTGCGGTGGTGGTAGAAGGAATCTAGAATTTTCTTTTGTTCTGTGTCTAGCTTTGGGCTCTTAGTTGGGTTCTTTTAGGTTAGCTTGGGTGGCCTCTGTTTGTTTTGTTTATGTGTATATGGGCCTTTGGTTTGTAAATTAATGCTGGAATAAAAAATTTAGGAAAACTAATGAAAAAGCTTGAAAACTTTGAGTTTTAATAATAAGGACAAAATAAAGGGTAAAGTGAATAGTATTAAGTTTGACTTTTTAGTGTAAAAATGTGATTTTTCGTTAAAATGAACAGTACCGTGGGCTTTTCGTTAAAACTTCCATAAAATTTTGTTCCTCTCCACGGAAAGGATTTTACCAAAAAAAAAAAAATCTTTTGCCAACAGAATTTGTATGTATGATTAGAATTGTCCAACACCTGCGTAAGTCAACAACCCACACAAGTCAAGTTAGAACAACATGATCTCTCTTCCAACTTGTTTCTTTCTATATTTCTCTCTTGCGCTGGATTATTTTCGTCAGGGTTCTGGAAAAGCTTCAAGTTGATCAGTCTTTCATATTCGATCTCTCTAGATCTTAATACTTCCCAATCAATTTCTTTCTTGATTCAGAGGTACTCTCACTGACTTAATTACACTTGGATAAATAATTACCATATAATTATAGTCTTCTCTTACATTTCTTATAATATTGTATAGCGACTGTTAATTTGTGCTGACTTTTTGGTCCCTCAGAATGTTTATGAAGCCCACCAAAATAGAAATTTTTTCTTTCTTTCTTTTTTTGTTGATAGAAGTGATTATGTTGGGGAAGAAGATTCGAATTCAGTGACCTCGGGTGCGTTCAAGGGTAAATGTTCTAAACTAACTGAGATATATGTCAGTTGTATATAGGGGATTTTGGCTTAATTATTAAATAATTTCATATTTTGTCATAGTTAACGGACCCCTTATGAATATACATACATGTGGGTATGTTATGAAATAGGTCAGGTCTGGAAGGATTTGCAGGTTTTGAAATATATATATATATATATATGGATGGATTCGCAGGTGATGAAGTATAAATAGTGGGGTTTGCAGGTTATTAGTATGGCTTCTTCCTCTTCCTCTGCTGCTACTATCTCATCACCTCGAAGAAAGTATGATGTGTTTCTTAGTTTCAGAGGTGAGGACACTCGCAAGACTTTCACCAGCCACCTTCATGCTGCCTTACTTCGAAAGAAACTTCAGACCTACATAGATTCCAAACTTGACAGTGGGGATGAAATCGGACCTGCCCTTCTAGAAGCTATTGAGAAATCAAAGCTTTCGGTGATCATTTTCTCAAAAAACTATGCTTCTTCCACATGGTGTCTGGATGAACTCGTGCATATACTAGGATGCAAGGAAAGGGATGGACAGTTTGTTATACCCATTTTTTACGATATCAGTCCATCGGATGTACGAAAACAGCAGGAGAGTTATGCAGTTGCATTTGCCAAGCTTGAAGAACGTTTCAAGGACTGTATGGACAAGGTGCTTCAGTGGAGGGATGCTTTGGAGAAAGCTGCCAACCTATCTGGTTATGATTCAAACAAAGCCGGGTAACTAACTTTGCAACTCTTGCAGCATTTTTTACTTGTGGCCTTTGTTTCAAACAAGATTCATTAATGCAGGACTTAGTAACTATTTTTTTCCTTCATGGTTACTTATATTTTAACTCCGCCTATGTCTTACATGGCCGGTCCCAAGCCCGGATAAAGGAGGAGGGGGAGGGCGTCAGGTAGTCGACAGCCGGCACTCCATGATCACGTCGAATCCTTATGAAAATGAATCCAGAACAAAATAGCGCTAAAGCTAGGGCGTCACCCGTAAGTGGCGCGCTGTGCGGCCCGAGCACAGTGATAAGTGAGCAAGGGTCGCTGTATCTCCATCGGCACCCGGATGCAGTGTTAAATGAGCAAGGGGGCCATAGAAACTTCTTTTCGAACGACTCCACTCAAAGTTGTTTGGGAGCATATGCTCCTATCAACTTTACCCGGGACACACAAAAGAAGTACTTTGATCCTATTAGACGGGGGAGGGTGAAGAAGCTAGGACAGAAGGGTAGTTCAAGAGAGCAAAATGCGTTTAGGAACGTGGAATATAGGAACCTTAACGGGAAAATCTATGGAAGTAGTGGAAGTTATGGTGAGGAGAAGGATAAATATTATGTGCCTACAAGAAACTAAGTGGGTTGGTAGTAAGGCAAAGGATCTAGAAAACTCAGGGTTTAAACTTTGGTATTCGGGCACACATAGAACGAGAAACGGTGTTGGCATCATGAGGAAAGGGGATCGTATAACTTGTAAGGATTGCAAAGTTATACCAGGAGAGAGCGTGGCTAATCAACATCGCTTGTTGGTGATGGATGTACATATCAAAAGAGTGAGACAAAAGAACAAGACTTGGAAGTGCCCAAGGACTAGATGGTGGAATCTAAAAGAAGAAAAACAAGCCATTTTCAAAGGGAAAGTAATCACCCAGTGTGTGTGGGATAGAGAGGGGGAAGCTAGCCAAATGTGGGATTCCATGGCTAGTTGTATCCGAAAAGTAGCAAAAGAGGTATTAGGAGAGTCCAAGGGCTTTGCCCCACACCAAAAGGAATCTTGGTGGTGGAATGAGGAGGTACAAACAAAGGTGAAGGCTAAGAAGGAATGTTGTAAAGCCTTATACAAGGATAGGACTGATGAAAATGGTGAAAGGTATAGAAAAAGCGAAGCAAGAGGCGAAGAAAGCTGTGAGAGAAGCTAAGTTAGCGGCTTACGACGATATGTATAAACGACTAGATACCAAAGAAGGAGAGTTGGATATCTATAAACTAGCTAGAGCAAGGGAAAAAGAAGACAAGGGACCTAAACCAAGTGAGGTGCATCAAGGATGAGGATGGAAAAGTTCTTGCTACAGAGAATGCGGTTAAAGACAGATGGAGAGGTTATTTTCATAATCTTTTCAATGAAGGACATGAAAGGAGTGCTTCTTTAGGGGAGTTGAGTAACTCAGAAGAGTGTAGAAACTACTCTTTTTATCGTCGAATCCGGAAGGAAGAAGTGGTTGTAGCTTTGAAGAAGATGAAGCAAAGAAAAGCAATAGGCCCAGACGAGAGATACCAATCGAAGTGTGGAAAGTTTTGGGAGAGACAGGTATAACATGGCTCACTGACCTTTTCAATAGGATTTTGAAAACGAAGAAGATGCCAAATGAGTGGCGAACAAGCACTTTAGTGCCTATCTACAAGAATAAGGGCGACGTACAAAATTGCATGAACTATAGGGGTATTAAGCTAATGAGTCATACAATGAAGCTTTGGGAGAGAGTCATTGAGCATAGATTGAGGCAAGAGACACGGGTTTCGGACAACCAATTCGGGTTCATGCCAGGGCGCTCAACCATGGAGGCAATCTATCTCTTACGAAGATTGATGGAAAGATATAGAGATGGGAAAAAGGATTTACACATGGTCTTTATAGATTTGGAGAAAGCGTACGATAGGGTCCCAAGAGACATTCTTTGGAGGATTTTAGAGAAGAAAGGAGTACGAGTAGCATATATCCAAGCTATAAAGGATATGTATGAAGGAGCAAAGACTGCCGTAAGAACTCATGAAGGACAAACTGAAAGCTTTCCCATAACTGTAGGATTACATCAAGGCTCATCCTTAAGTCCTTACCTTTTTGCGTTGGTAATGGATGAGTTAACAGGACATATTCAAGATGATATTCCTTGGTGTATGCTTTTCGCAGACGATATATAGTGTTGATAGATGAAACTCAGGAAGGGGTAAATGCAAAGCTTAACCTTTGGAAAGAAGTGTTGGAATCTAAAAGGTCTTCGCCTAAGCCGATCAAAGACAGAATATATGGAGTGCAAGTTCAGTGCAAATGGAGGCCAAAACGAGTTAGGGGTGAGGATCGGTGATCAAGAAATACCAAAGAGCGATCGTTTTCGTTACCTAGGATCTATCTTGCAAAAGAACGGAGAATTAGATGGAGATCTCAACCATAGAATACAAGCTGGATGGATGAAGTGGAAGAGTGCATCCGGCGTGTTGTGTGACCGCCGTATGCCACTGAAGCTCAAGGGAAAATTTTATAGGACGGCAATAAGGCCGGCGATGCTGTATGGCACAGAATGTTGGGCGGTGAAGCATCAACACGTACACAAAATGGGTGTAGCGGAGATGAGGATGCTTCGTTGGATGTGTGGGCACACGAGAAAGGATAAGATTAGGAATGAGGATATCCGGGGTAAAGTAGGAGTAGCCGAAATTGAAGGAAAGATGAGAGAAAATCGGTTACGGTGGTTTGGACATGTGCAAAGAAGGCCTACTGACGCTCCGATTAGAAGATGCGACTATGGGACAGAGGTTCAGGGCCGAAGGGGTAGAGGAAGACCTAAGAAAACTTTGGAAGAGACTCTAAGAAAAGACTTAGAGTACTTGGATTTAACGAAGGACATGACACAGGACCGAGCACAATGGCGTTCTAAGATTCATGTAGCCGATCCCACTCAGTGACTTGGATTTTCCAAGTCTCCAACCGAGAAGTTTTCCTCACTCAGGAAATTAAGGGAACACTACCTCAACCTACATGCTCCACTCACAAAGCTCCAACAAAAGAAAATTCAAAGAACTTAGAGAAGAAGGCTTTGGTGTATTTAACACAATACGTTGAAATGAAGGAAAGCTTATTTATTGATATCCCCGATAAGCTACAAATATGTACATATACATGAGTCAAAATAAACAAACAAGAGAGAGCCTTCACAAAGGTTGCTTAGGAGAAGTCGCAGCAGTCGGTAGAGCCCCAGAAAGAGAAGGCACCGGAGGGGGATCATTCGGAGCCTCAGTACTGGACAGAACCCTAGAAGGAGGAGGCATCAGAGGTTGATCATTTGGAGCTTCATTACGCGGTACAGCCCCAGAAGACGAAGGCAATAAATGCCTTTGGAACAAACCCACAAAATCTCTGATGATCAAGTAAAACCTGACCATCAGATTCCTTCATCTGGTCCAGCTTCCTTCCTCTTCATGTTTGTAGCATAGTCATGTGCGAGACGGTGCAACTGTTTATTCTCATGCTTGAGCCCTCTAATCTCCTGTTTGAGACTCATCACTTCAGCCGCCAATGATTCAACTTGGCGGGTTCGAGCAAATAGGCGTTGGGCCATATTAGACACAGAACCTGCACACTGAACACTGAGAGCCAGAGAATCCTTAACAGCTAACTCATCAGATCGTTTGGAAAGTAGTCTGTTATCTTTGGGAGTGAGAAGGTTCCTGGCCACCACCGCAGCGGTCATATCATTCTTCATAACGGAATCCCCAACGGTAAGAGGACCAGTAGGGGAGACGAAGGATGGGCGCCATATGTTGTCTGGAGAAGGCGGGGCTGCCTCTTCAACAAGGTTCAAGTCAAAACGACGGTCGGAGGGGCCAGACATTTTCAAAGGTGTTGAAGAGAGAAGAGGTCGAACAAATCAAGATCTTAGAAGTGTAAGAATGGAGCTTCTACTGGGGGAGATTCAAGTGTGCTTTGGAACTTAATGCCAACCCCTATAAAAATCTGCACTCGACGGAGCTTCAGAAATCGAAGAGGCGCCTGCTCAGAAATCGAAGAGGCGTTTGCTTTCTCAAAAGCTGGGCTGCTCAGAGACCACGAGGGTCGATCTCAGAAATCGAAGAGGCGTCTGCTTTCTCAAAAGTTGGGCTGCTCAAAGACCACGAAGGCCGATCTCAGAAATCGAAGAGGCGCTTGCTTTCTCAAAAGTTGGGCTGCTCAGAGACCACGAGGGCCGATCTCAGAAATCGAAGAGGCACCTACTTTTCCAGCCTTGGCAGCACCTGTCACACGCACACTCAGCTTTGCGGAAATTATGGGCATTCTGTCGAAGACTTCTGGTGAAGTAGAAAGCACATGAGTCTTACTGTTCAATCACCCACTTCCCACACGCAATAGTAGCTCATGTGTATCACAGATAACTTTGCCAAAGTTCTCTGCCAAAGTTGAGCACGTGAAGCTTGCAGCTTCCACTACATCGCTCTGACCAAGACGGGTCAAAGAATAGCAAAGAAACAGCACTAACAAAGTTTAGACACATAAATTTTGAAGGTCTAGCTACCCCATATTATTACCCACAAGGGTAAAGGAACAGTATCACTGCTGGATAATTGGAAAGTCCCTGTGTGTCAACCTCTGTGTTTCGTGGCAAGGTAGACTAGCAAACATGCCCAACCTTTACTCACATTCGAGAAAACACTCCCAACAAGATTGCTTGCTCCAAAATCGAAGAGGCACCGTCCTCCGAATCTCGAGAGCCAGACTCCCAACATGACTACTTTCTCAAAAATCGAAGAGAGGGTAAAGGAACAGTACCATTGCTGGATAATTGGAAAGTCCCTGTGTGTCAACCTCTGTGCTTCGTGGCAAGGTAGACTAGCAAACATGCCCAACCTTTACTCACATTCGAGAAAACACTCCCAACAAGATTGCTTGCTCCAAAATCGAAGAGGCACCGCCCTCCGAATCTCGAGAGCCAGACTCCCAACATGATTACCTTCTCAAAAATCGAAGAGACACCGCTCTCCGAATCTCGAGAGCCAGACCCCCAGCAGGATTGCTTTCTCAAAAATCGAAGAGACATCGTTCTCCGAATCTCGAGAGCCAGATCCCTGATAGGATTGCTTGTTCGAAAACCGAAGAGGCAACACTTTCCCAACTACAAGAGCCGGATCTCCTTGGATAAAGCTGTCTGTAATCTTCACACGCAACATCAGCTTTCCACATACCACAGACCACTTTTTCAAAGTGCTCTGACAGGGTAAAGGAATAGCATTACTACTTGTTGTTAAGGAGACTCCTATATATGTCAACCTCCATCCCCAACGGACAGACAGACCTGCAAAAATGCTCAACCCTTCCTCATATATGAGAGGGCACTCTCAACGAAGCCTTTCGAAATATTCAGCTTTCTTTCCCCCGATAATACCTCTGCAAACAAGTTATACTAGAGCAAGAATATCTCATATCATCAGGGTTAAAAGCAAGAGTATCCCATATCATGCTTTTTCCCTGTCTTTTCCTTTGGCCTTGTTCTTACCTGCAAGACAAGGAGAGAAAGAGAGCAATCAGTCAGCACTTGGAATCAAGCTTCCAGCCAGGAACTGACTGCCTGGAACTTACTTACCTGGCATTGCTCTCGAGTACTCATCTTCAACATCTTATGCTTCCAGGGAAGATACCGCATCTGCCTGAGGAACAGATAGGGCAAGTGAGAAGGATACAAGGAAGCATGTGGAGACAAGCGTAACAGCACACGTGCCGATACATCCATTACTCTGTCAAAGCAAAAGTATCCCATATCAATAGGGTCGAACGTACTCTAGATTTGATGGACTTGTTTTGACCCTCAAATTCTTCAGTCGGCCTTATACTCTGGAGGAAACCAGAAAACCCTCCAGCTCAGTTCAAGAATAAGCCTGTGGAAAGTTACTTCTTCAAAAGCAAAAAGTATCCCATATCATCTCTTCTCATTTTTCTTCTCTTTATCCTTCATGCTGCCTGCAAGATAGGGAGAATGTGAACAATCAGCCGGAGCTCTGATTGCTTACCTTGTCTGTCACCTCTTTCAGCAAATCCCCTAGCTCGGCAACTTGAGGGACTCCTACTACATGGTTTGTATCGCGCTTGACCAAGCCTGAAACTACAAGTAAGCTTCAAGTGAAATTGATACATTACCTTGTGCATCTCCACCAGTTAAAGATACCACCCCTGGATGGAGGAAGAGTACTTCCAGAGAAGATGCCACATCTACCTGTGAGACAGATAAGGCAAGTCAAGACGATACCACATTCCGATACTTAGAAGTTTCGTGATTACGAGATCATTCTCCCACAATATTTCCTAATGTCATTTGTACTAAATCATTCACCTGTACTCACTAAAGGAAAGCTTGAACCTATGTACTTGTGTAAACCCTTCACAATTAATGAGAACTCCTCTATTCCGTGGACGTAGCCAATCTGGGTGAACCACGTACATCTTGTGTTTGCTTTCCTATCTATATCCATTTTATATACTTATCCACACTAATGATCGGAGCAATCTAGCGAAGATCACAAAAAGCGACCGATTTCGCTACCTAGGATATATCGTGCAAGAGAACGGAGAATTAGAGAGATCTCAACCATAGAATAGAAGTTGGATAGATGAAGTGTAAGAGTGCATCCGGCGGGTTGTGTAACCGTCGTAGGCCACTGAAGCTCAAGGGAAAATTTTTATAGGACGGCAATAAGGCCAGCGATGTTGTATGGCACAGAATGTTGGGCGGTGAAGCATCAACACGTACACAAAATGGGTGTGGCGGAGACGAGGATGCTTCGTGGGATGTGTGGGCACACAAGAAATGATAAGATTGGAAATGAGGATATTCGAGGTAAAGTAGGAGTGGCCGAAATTGAAGGAAAGATGAGAGAAAATCGGTTCCGGTGATTTGGACATGTGCAAAGAAGGCCTACTGATGCTCCGGTTCGAAGATGTGACTACGGGACAGAGGTTCAGGGCCAAAGGGGTAGAGGAAGACCTAGGAAAACTTTGGAAGAGACTCTAAGAAAAGATTTAGAGTACTTGGTTCTAACGGAGGACATGACACAAAACCGAGCGCAATGGCGTTCTAGGATTCATATAGCCGACCCCACTTAGTGGGAAAAGGCTTTGTTGTTGTTGTTGTTGTTGTATGGTTACTTATATTTTCCAGGACAGAGGCCGATTTGGTTGAAGAAGTTGTCCGTGATATATTGAACAAATTGAATTGCAAAAACTCAGATGATTTAAAGGGCCTAGTTGAGATTGAAACCAAAGTTGAGCAAATTGAATCGTTACTATGCCTTGATTCATCGGATGTTTGCGTTGTAGGTATTTGGGGCATGGCTGGTATTGGCAAGACCACCCTTGCTGATGTTGTATATCACCGACTCTCTTCCAAGTTTGAAGCTTGTTGCTTTCTTAAAAATGTTAGAGAAAATTCTGAAGAAAAAGACGGAATATATAACTTACGAAATAAACTTCTCCGTGAGATTTTAGATGATGAAATATAAATATTAGCGCTCCATCTATGGGATCAGAGCTTGCTAAAGGGAGGCTCCTTTGTACAAAGGTACTCATTGTTCTTGACGATGTGAGTGATTCAAGGCAATTAGAACTTCTAGTTGGAGGTGATCTTCAGTTTGGTGTCGGAAGTACAATCATTATCACTACTCGAGATCGGAGCTTACTCAATGAAAAGGTTAATGATGACAAAATTTACGAGGTCAAGGGATTGAAACATGATGGCGCTCTTCAGCTCTTTCATTTGCATGCTCTGAAAAATAAGTCTCCTACGACAATTAAAACAGAGTTTTCAAGAAAGGTGATAGATTATAGTCAAGGCATTCCATTGGCTCTTAAAACTTTGGGTGCCTTATTCCATCGCTGCGATACAGAAGAAGACTGGGATGAAGAATTGAACAGATTGAAAAATTTTCCTAGCGAAAAAATTCAGAATGTGTTGAGACTTAGTTATGATGGATTAGAAGAAAATGAGAAGGAATGCTTTCTTGACATTGCATGCTTTCTGAAAGGGGCAGATGTTTATATTGCAAGAGGAATATTAGATATTCGGGGTTTCTCCGTGACGGGAATCCAAATTCTTATTGACAAGTCTCTCATATCAATTTCAAAGAAGAATTGCTTAGAGATGCATGATTTGCTGCAAGACATGGGCCGGACAATTGTTCGTGAACAATGCAGGGACGAGCCAGGAAAACGTAATAGGTTGTGGGCTGCTGATGATGTCTATCAAGTACTGGAGAATGATACGGTAAGAATAAAAAATCATGAACTTTCTACGACAGGGGACAGCGGAAACTCATTTTGACACGTCTAACAAAAGTATTTTCTCTTGATTTCCAGGGAACTTCAACAGTTCAATGCATATCCTTTGACACGTCTAACATTACACGGTTGGAATTATGTGGATCACCCTTCAAGAAGATGTCTAATTTAAGATTGCTGATGATTCATGATCCTCATCTAAGAGTCAAGTACAACTATGACTTTGAGGTTCATCCAAAATTTCTGAAATACTTCGGTTTTTCTATCAGTGAAAAGCCGTACAACAACAATCTGGACCTTTCTCAAGGTCTTCAGTCTCTTCCCAATTCTCTCAGGTACCTTTACTGGCAGGAATACCCGTTGAAATCTCTTCCTTCAAATTTTTCTCCACAAAATCTTGTTGTGCTTCGATTGCCCTACAGCTTTGCTGGGGAAAAACTTTGGAGTAAAAACCAGGTATATATATGCTTCCTCTTCTGTTTTTCAATTTTTTTTTTTTTTAATACAAGTATATGTGCTTAGTTTTGTTCTTTGTATTAAACTATGGTGCCTCTGGAAATCTATTTCGCCGAAGTCAATAATGTTCTTCTTTCCATTTCTCTTTAATTTGTTACAGAATCTTGGGAACTTAAAAGTGATTGAACTAAGTTTTTGCAAGCATCTGACTGAAGTTCCAGATCTCTCTCGCAGTAAAAAAATTGAGCGTATAGTGCTTTTTGGCTGTATAAGATTGGTTCGAATTCCTTCTTATTTTAAAGATCTTGACAAGCTTAGGTGTCTGAATCTGGGATGGTGCACAAGTCTAAAATTCTTACCAGAGCTCCCAGTGCAATGTTGTCTTGAAGCAAGTGGCTGCACTTCACTGAAGACAGTTTCAAGTTCAAGAAATTCACTCACACAAGCTTGGGATAAATATGAATTGTTTCGAGGGCGTTTTAACTTTGCTGATTGCCGGAACTTGGATGAAAATGCAAGGACTAATATAATGGCTAACACACAGTTAAGAATTATGCGAGTGGCAACTGGGCCATTGAAAACTCAGCAACATAAAGAAGAAGAAATTGTCATGGTCTCTCTCTCTCTCTCTCTCTCTCTCTCACCCACGCACGCACTAGCACACACTTTCATATCTCCTTTATGCCATTTTTTCACGTGTTGAATAATTTATTTGATTTCCATGCATCGATATTACAGGAAATGACTTCATTTATCCCTACCTCTTGTCGGACTTCAGGTAGCACCGTCTCTGCTCGGACTTTAGTTAGCACTGTATTTGCAGGAAATAAAATTCCAAATTGGTTCTGCCATCAAAATGAAGGATCTTCGATAACTATCAAGCTTCCTCGATATTGGTATTGTACAGATTTTTTGGGTTTTGCTTTATCTGTTGTTGTCCGTAGCTATAGTTGTTCTAACGCTCTGATGTTTGGATGCTCGTGCAATTTTAAAACTAATAGTGGTGAAAGCCATAAAACCATTTATCCTTCCCATTATCCTTTTAATAAAGAAGGGGGAAGGGTTACTTATTCGAAATTCGATCACATATTTGTGTGGTATAGTGCGCTTGCACTTGGAGAGGGAGCAAATTTAAATCGCTCCACTTCTTTTTACAAACTTGTCACTGAGGCCTGTTTTGAGTTCAACGCCTTGCACAACGGCCCTTTCGGATTAGAGGTGAAAAAGTGTGGGATCAGCCTGCTGTATGCTCAAGATGTCGAGACCATCAAGTCGGGAGGAACTACAGGTTGGAGTAGCCAAAAAAAAAAAAAGTTGGAAATGAAAAATTAAGAATTTGAGCTCCTTATTGTTTGTATTCTCATCTTTTTAACTGTTTGTAAGCCTTGTGGCCGAGGGATTCCTTGTATTAGTCTCTGTTGTTGTAACGCTTTGCCTCTCCATAAGAGGCGTTTTGATATAGGTGGTTCAATTTTGAATTTTTTATATCAAACATCTATAGCTTTTGGCCTCTATTTTTTTTTTTTTTTTTGAACAATCGATATCATGGGTTCAGCAGAGAAATACTAGTAGACCGTAGTACTAATTGTTATAGTTTTTAGGCTTTTTGATCAAACATTCTTTTATTAATTTTTAATACTTCATTTACTTAATTTATCATTTAATTCACAAATTAATATAAAAAGACTCCAAAAATCATGTAATCTTAACTTATCTTCTCCTATAATAATTCGTTTCATAATAATCACTAGCAAAAGTGCCCCGCACATTGCTGCGAGTGCTTTAAATATTTTGATAATATATACATACAGAAAACATAAATTATTGAAGCTAGATTTATAGAAATTGGCAGTGTTCATAGTTTTAATTACCTTGTATTTGAAAAGAGGTTCAGAACTCTCTTCAATTTCTTTTGGTTCTGGTTTGGCTTCAAGCTTAGCCTCCGTTGTCGCCATTGACAGAAGACGGGCTCTTAGGAATAGAAGTGGGCATGAATGGAGCTTGATATGATCTAATTATGAAAACATACACTAATCAAACATAAAATTTCAAGTGCACGAACGAATTTATACAAATATGTTGAAAAGAATCACTTTTTATGTTGAAATTTGCTGATGCTGGGGTGAGTCAAAACGACGTTGCAGTCTGGGTGTAGGTCGACGACCAAGATTTCTCAATGGGTTTTCCATCCAGATGGGTTTGTAGTGGGGCTGCGATTAGATTTGTTGACGATGAAGCGGTGAGCGAGAGAGAAGCGGTGACTGTAAGAGAAATTGTGGAAATGGATTTCTTGGCTTGAGTTTTTTTTTTTTTTTTTTTTTTTTTTGCAGTGATTGTGAGCGTGAGAGAGAGAGAAATTGATTTGGTTGAGCTGTTTTTGGTTTCGATTAGACTAGCTAGTAATGCCTGCGCGTTGCTACGAGATTACAAATTGCATGAATAATTATGTATCATTCTCTTCTAATAGGTTCTCTAGTTATGAGTTTTATTAAACATAAAATAAGATTATTTTCTTGTCACAAAATTAGCATTTTCAATGCATCAAAGCAAGTGTTAACATATAGCATAAAATCTAATAACCTGAATAATAGTATTTTAATTGATATTAACAATCAGAAACACAATTGTAAATATAAAGTTGGATGATTTAATGGTTACAAACCATGTAAATCACCTAGACATAAAAAAATAAAAAGTAGATGAAAATTAAGGATTGACTTGAGCTTGGAGTTCATCAAAAAGTGAAAGATCAAAATTACTTTTACTGTAAGAGGCAATACCAGAAGATGTAATCTAAATTATTTATATTTGGTTCCCCTGAAATCCTTTTGACTGCTTCAACATACGATATGCAGACAGAACCAGAACCAGAACCAAGTCTAGACTCTTACTCGTAATAGGTCTCCTCATCCACAACAATATCCCAGCTTTCCCATGTCGTGCTTTTCCCATATTTGTGCACCTTACTGCAAAGAGAGAGCAAGTTAACTTGTCAAAGAAAAACCAGAACAATAGATGCCAACGCAGTTCAGCAAGTTTATTTCCTTTCGTACCCATTTCCAAAGTGCTCTTCCCCCCATGTCCTTGACCACCCTAGACATGAGAGAACAAAAACAGAGTTACATCAGAATTAATTATTGAAAGAAAAGTTCACTTCTGTTGTAACGAATCGACATTAGAATCAAGCAACCAAGTTATGAAATACAAATTTTAAATGTAACTATTTACTGTGTTTGTAATGAATCTGTGAAATCAAATAGTTAAACCCTAAAAAGCACCACTGCAAATAGCATAAGAAAATTGAAATTAACCCTAAAGAAATTGGGAGAGAAGAATATGAAAAGGGAATACCTTTCGGCCCTTTGAGTTATTGGAAAAAAAAAAACCCAACAGAGCAAAAGCCTCAAACTCCAAAGACTGTTGTGGGATTTTGAAGAGAGCAAGAGAGAGAGAGAAAATATCAGAAGAAATAAAGCAAGAAAGGGAGGAACCAAAAGGGGGAAGAAGAAGAAGAAGAAGCAGCAACAAAAGCGAGCAGATGAAGAAGAAATAAGGGAAAAAAAAGGACGATTGAAATTAATGGAGAGAGCACCCTTGGATTCTTCGGCTTTAAGATGTTCATAATCGAAGAGTTCGAAGGGATTTCCCTTTGGATTCTTCGGTTTTCAGATGGAGTTTGCTTGTGTGTGGGAGACAGAGGTGGAGCGGCTAGGGTTTGAGTATGGAAGAGATGAAAAATGGAGAGAGCACCTGTTTTGGCTGAAGCAATGGCTCACACAGGCGTGGATCAAAAGTAGCGGCAGACAGAGCGGCATGGCCTCCCATTCCCGAAACCCACCCGCACGTCTCTCCTCGAAATCCCGGCAAACGTCTCCCTCTCACCCTTCTGTCGCCCTTCTCTCTCTCTCTCCCCGAGTCGAAGCCCAGATCCAGCCCAAAGAGTGAAGACCCGTTCTTAAGCCCAAGTGGCAATCTTGTAAATGAAGCGAAATTTGGGCTGAAATCAGTCCGGTGGCAAACTCGTAAATAAAGTAAAATTGAGCCAAAATTGCACAGTACCGTCATCCCTCCTACTTTAGACAAAAGTAAAGTGAAGTAAAAAGGAAGCGGCGCAGACTGCAGCGGAAGCAGTGCAGTAAGAAAGAGGCGGAGAAGGAATAAGGAGAGTGAGCCACGTATTCACTGGGCAACACGTATCAAAGATGGGCAAACTGGTCAATTCACTATGCAAGTGAGGAAAAGAAGAAGAAAATTGCACAGTAAAAAGGATAATTTCGCCACTTCACTGTACGTTGGAACAATGTTTTTCGCAGTCGGCTATAGTATCCCCTTAGAGTGCGTTTGTTGCACCGGATTATCTTGGACTGGACTATCTTCAGGGATTAAGCTGGACTGGCTTAGACTAGACTAAGCTGGACTGACTTAGTGAAGCGTTTGGTGCAGTGTCGGGATGGCCATTAGTTGGCCGACAATCATGCTCCACGGGACTTGAGTTTTCCTTAGCCATGTACCCATAAGTTGGCAACTCATAGGTTGGCTCTATATGATTTTCACCATAGCCATGGCTCGGGCATTCTTCAACACCATCATCTTCTTCCCACTCCGGAATGTAGGGCTTGAAAACATGTCGAGAAAAATCATAAACATAAGGATTGTTCATGATCTAACTCCATATAAGGATCCCACCGGGCGTGCCAAAATATGTTTGCTCCCTAAATCCACCATGGGCCTCGCGGGCAAGCCGGGGATTTACTTCACATACGAGATTGGTGGGTGCGGGCATGCCACTACTAGATGCCGCTAGTAGACGGGATTTGAATGATTGAGGTTGCGCCTTTTGACTTCAAATCAAGAGATTGTGCCATTTGAGTGGGAGTTGCTCAAATCAAGGTTCTTTCTTTGCCTTAAAAATAAAGACTTTACTTATATGGAGAGATAGAACAATATGTAAATGACAAGGTTGCTCGGAAATTAAATGACAGAGGAAAGTGACTAATATTGCAGATTGCTTGTAATTTAAATGACTGAAAAGGAGTTGTACATGAACTACAAATAAGATCGATACTGCAAGTGAGCAGCAGAGCTAATAAACAAGAAAAGCAAAGGATGCTTGGCTAAAATTAAATGTCTACAAGGAAGCTGATGAGCTAATTTGAGCAGAGTTTGTGTATTTGTTTGGTTGTTTGAGTGTCCATAATCCTTGTGTTTGTACTCCTTTATATAGAGGTCTGGAGGAAACCCCCTTGCTAAGGACATTGCAGCTGTCCAAAAGAAACTTGGGCAGTTTGTATTCCATTGCTTGGGCAGCTTGCTTTTCACTTGCCAACTTGCATGGAGAAATAATATTAAAAGGGGAACTTTGCATTACCACCACATGCTTTCATCACATGTTTTCCCACTTGTAATAAACTAACATTTAAAAGAAGCAAGTTGGCTAGTTGGCTTCTTTCATCACACATTCTTGCCCGAAAGCATGCATGGTGTCTTTCCATCCACTTGCATGAAAAAGCATGCACTTGTCTTGATTAAACAATTCGCTTGGCAAACCTCCACCACCCAAACAAATGGGAGAAACAATATTATAGTGCCAAACCCTTCAACTTGTAGTCAAATATCTTTCCAAATTAGCTTTTTGCACATTAATCATCCAAATGCCAAATTTTCCCCAAATGGCCCAAATAAGTAAAAATAGGTATATTTTAAGTGCAAACACAACCTTTTAATGACTATAACTGTTTTTCGATCATGTGTGTGTGTTTTTTTATTGGTGTATGCATGGAATTGATCACTTTGAGTCTTTGCCGATGTAATATTTTTTTCACTTTATGATTGAATGTTACTTGCAGTTAACTAAGTTATGTGAATTGGGGATTGATGATAGTGTTTGTTCCGTTGGCTGGGGTTAACGTGGAACTCATCTTGCAGTTGGAACTAGCAATGGGAAAGTCCAAGTAAGAGATACCCTTTCACATCTGATAGACATGCTGCATTCTTAGAGATTTGAAATTGAGATGTTATTTTTATATTTATAATATTGCAAAGTGGAATTACAAGTGTAGTTGCAACAGCATCCGCAATGTAGGTGTTTGAGCAACAAGTTTGTTACTTTAATATGGGGACAAAGATCCTCAAACAATATAATGCTTGAAATACTTATATGTACTGCAGAACTTGTGGAAATTTTTTGTCATTAGAATGTATACTAATACAAATAAAAATTTCCTATCAAGCTACATATTCCTGTCTGGTCTGTGAGGCGACAAGGCCCACCAACACATCATATCAAATATTGATAGGGCAGAATTAGACATTATCTATTTACTCATTCTAGAATGTCCAACTTTTGTTTTGAAGTCCATATTCCATATATGTCTTTAAGTGTTCACTGTTGTACATGATCTATGTTACTGGTCTTTAGATAGGAATATCAATAGGTGAGTCGAAACCTCCATGCCCTGCTCATGACATTGTGGATTTGTGACGATGTTTGGTAATATGAGTCTAAACACAATTGGATTCTTATTTTGGTGATTTCCATTAGTTTGATTTTTTGCACAACTATTCAAACATGAACAAAATTTTGACTAGTGGTCTGATTATATGTGACATGCTTCTTCTCTGTTCGCCCTTTGTTAGAACCAAGTCAGTGGTCTGCTTGCTGTTGTGTTGAATACCTAATTTAACGTTGGATTTTGATTTTTGGATTTGGGTTTGTTTTCTAAGAATAGGATTTGGATGTTGCGATGGTCAAAGCCACCAACCACATCGAGTGTCCACCCAAAGAGAAACACCTCAGAATTCAGTTACTAAATTTTGCAGATTTTTCAGATCCATTATTTTATCAAAGAGGTGGTTGAACTTTGATCCACATATGTGAACAAAAGAAGGAAGGGAGGAAGGGGCAGTTATGAAATCAAAGGCGCAAAATAGTCAAGTTTTTTAAGAGGAAAATAATCGCGAGACTTCCGTCATTACTTACACCGAGAAGGTCTCGCTCTCTCTCCAAATTTCTTGGTGATTTGTTCAATGTGTGTTGGTTGTGGTCTTTTTGCAGATAATTAAGAATGAACAGCTTCAATTAAGAAAGCAAGTATATTTGATTTCAATGTATTGTATATGGATTGTTTTAGGGAATTATTATTGCTTTAGTTGTGTGTTTAAGCAGTAATGCAGTGAACTAGGGTTGTTGTAGTCTATGAAATGAATAAGATGATCATTGAATATTGATTTTAGTGATTGGCTGATGCTATAATTGGTTGTTTAGAAATGCAAGCTGTTTGATGAACTAGGCAAGTTTAGGTTAAACTAGAAGTTTAGAGGATTTATTAGCTTAATAGAATTTGCTAACCCTTTGTTTCTCTAATGTAACTGCAGGACTTGCTGTGCTGAGATTGCACACAACATTTCCACTAGGAAGAGGAAGGAGATCGACGAGCTTGCAGCCCAGTTGGATGTTGTTACCAACAAACTTGCCAGGAGGACGAGTAAACCTTGCAGCTGTTGTAGTTTATTCTGCTATGTGTGTTTATACAATGCTAGTTTTCAGAATTTTGGGAGAAATCTTATTCAGGATGCTACTTTTGTTTTCAATTTGGTACTATTGAATCTATATTATTTTACTAATCTAGTCATGTTAGACGACATGAAGTTCTACCAATTCGTTTGATTTTGCCATATTTTTTCCAATTCTCGAGTAAATCTTCAGTATTAATTACTCTTTTCACTTTTACTATCTAGTGTCACTTTTGTTAAATTTTGCAATTCGATTTGTTTTAAGTTTCGTACATTGTGCGGTTTATTCGCCTAAATGTTATCGTAGTTTTAGTACTTAGTGAATCGGTGTTTGTCTTGCCATGTGCATGTTTTCAGTATGCAATGTGCATATCATGTGCATCCATGCATCGATGTTACAGGAAATCTCTGATGAGACTTTAGTTAGCACTATATGTGTTGGAAATCAAATTCCACATTGATTCTGCCATCAAAATAAGGGATCTTCGATAACTATCAAGCTTCCTCCAGATTGGTATGGTCCAGATTTTTTGGGTTTTGCTTTCTCTCTTGTTGTCGCTGACAATGCCCTACCTTTTTTCCTTTCTTTGGGTTTCATGAAGATTGTATGCAAGTGCAATTTCAAAACTAATTGTGGCGAAAGTCATGAAATCATTTATCCTTTATTCCTTTTACTGAAAGAGGGGAAGCTTTCTTATTTGCCGTTCGAATTCATGTTTGTGTGGTTGTTGACCCTAAAAACTACCAAGCCTACGTGGCGCGCAGGCCGAGTAATCTATGAGCTAACTACGTTCTTCGGTGATATGTGGGGCGTGCCAACTTGACGGCCGAGCTCGACCGGTGAGTAAAATTTGTTGATGTTGCGTTGGTCGCGCTGCTAGCTTCTTGATCTTGCGATTGCAGCCGAGGAAGGAACACACCTCGGCCTTTAGGTTCTAAAGCTTGAAGACAAGACTGCTAGTTCTGCGAAGTTCAATATCAAATTCGGTGGTTAATGCGCCGAATGTAGTAACCTGGTAACACCTCACTTCGCCGAGAAGGCTAATGAGATGACATCTGCCAATAAGGATTCGAAAATCCTTCTCGACCGAGACTTGGATAGATAACCAATCGGCCTCTTCGCAGTGCTGTTTATCCAAACTGAAGATGTTCCGCGATCGACTAGTTCTACGGCTATAGTGTTGTTTATCCAAAATGAAGGTATCACCGGTTGCCTTCACAGTGCTGTTTATCCAAACTGAAGGTGTGTCGGCGAAAGGGAAAATAAAAATCTTACCAGAGCTCCCAGTGCTATGTTGTCTTGAAGCAAGGGGCTGCACTTCACTGAAGACAGTTTCAAGTTCAAGAAATTCACTCACACAAGCTTTGGGATAAATATGAATTGTTTCAAGGGTGTTTTAACTTTGTTAATTGCGGAAACTTGGATGAAAATGCAAGGACTAATATAATGGCTGACATACAGTTAAGAATTATGCGAGTGGAAACTGGGCCATTGAAAACTCAGCAACATAAAGAAGAAGAAATTGTCATGGTCTCTCTCTCTGTCTTTCTCACCCACGCACGCACTAGCACACTTTCATATCTCTTTTATGCAATTTTTTCACGTATTGAATAATTTATTTGATTTCCATGCATCGATGTTACAGGAAATGACTTCATCTATCCCTACCTCTTGTCGGACTTTAGGTAGCACCGTCTCAGCTCGGACTTTAGTTAGCACTGTATGTGCAGGAAATGAAATTCCAAATTGGTTCAGCCATCAAAATAAAGGATCTTCGAAAACTATCAAGCTTCCAAATTGGCGGAAAACTCGAAATTCCTCACCAAAAAAAACTCAATGCGCAATTAGATCATCAGGTTTCACGTCATATTGTTTTTCGTTTAAGAAAACCTTCTTGCAGTTTGTCGTTCAAAAAATCATACTTGAAGTAAAAATTAATAGTAGTAAATTATAGCAGCAGAAAGTATAATTAGTACATCAAATTTGACAGAACACAAAACACAATTTAACTAATATACACATAAAAAGGTCTTACCCAGTGCACAAGGCTCCCGCTTTACGCAGGGTCTGGGAGAGGTGAATGTCGGCTAGCCTTACCCCCATTTATGGAGAGGGGGCTCCCAAGTCTCGAACCCGAGACCTACCGCTCATGGACGAAGGCACTTGCCATCGCACCAAGTGCGACCTCTTCAACTAATATACACATAACTCATTAAATTAATTACCACATCAAACTTGAGAGTCCAACATGTCTAAATGTGCAAAAACCTTCTCCATATTCAACTTCAATTGCCTGAGAGCTGGTTTGGTATTGCTGTGCTTTGAAAAAAAACTGTTGTGAGAATAAGCGGCTGTGAAATAAATCAGCATAGTGTTTGGTAAACTTTTTTGTAAAAGTGCTTTTGAAAAAAAAAACAGTCTAATAGTGGGTTTTTTCATTAAAGAAGCACTGTAGCTCCGTGTGCTTTGAAAAAAAGCCAGTTTTCCAAAGCTGCAAATAGCAGCTTCATCTTTTTCCTTTGATTTCAGCTTATTCTCACAGCAGCTTCCAAAAAAAGCCCTTTTTTTTCAGTTTACCAAACACCTAAAACCCTCACAGCTTTTTTTCATGGGTGTTTTTTTTTTAAGCACCTCACTCCCAAACTAGGTCTGAAAATATCGAAAAGCGAAGCAAAAAAATAATTTCATCAAATTTGCTTACCCAAGGATAAGTTAAAAATAGAAAATAATCAAACCTTAGAAGCTATGGATTCTTAAGCACCATACAAATTACAAATTAAACCAAAACTACAACTAAAACAAGGAAACATCAATTATCCAGATATATAAAATTATCATATGAATTACTCTCCACTAATTGTATGTTCCATTGAGTAAAGCAACTAATGCAGTCTAGGCTCATCGTCCATATTCACATTAACCTAGAAAAAATCTAACTTCAAATTGTAATTCAAAATTGACCCAAAAAAATATACAACTTCAAATCGAATTTCCACAAAATAAATTCAAAATCCCATCTGAGAAAATTAAAGGCTAAATCCAAAACCTGCATTCTCATCAGAAAAAAAAAATACAAAATCTCTTAAAAGAAAAACCCAGAAAAGTAAAAAGAACTTGAATACCAGAGAATGTGTGGAGCCGATGAGCCGGTGGCGGTGGCGGTCGACATCGCCCGAGTCGTTCTCGGCTGCTATAAGCTGACTCAGTGCGGATTCGTCGGGTTTTTTGGCGGCGGTCCACCACGGGCTCTCATACTCGGCCACCTTCGTTTGCAGGCGAGAAAGAAAGCTCTCCAGATTTTGTAAACTCGAGGCCTAAAATGGAGGCCATGGTTGAGAGAAATTGGATGAGTGACGGCTAGGGTTTAGAGAAATTGAGTGGCTTGAGTTTTTTTTAAGAGAAGATGAAATAACTGAGAGATGATGAAGAGGAATGGGGGTGAGCGGCACTGAGGCTAGAGAGAGAGAAGTAGGGGTGGTTCGGGTCGGGATCCCGAACCGAAACTCCTTTCCCAAATCCCAAACCAAAACATTTCGGGATGAGATTTTATATCCCGAAACCGAATCGAAAATGTGCATTTCCCGAAATTCGGGATTCCCGAAAGTGTTTCGGGATTTTCGGGATACTTCGGGATTGGGCCTTGAAGCCCAAAATGTTGGGCTTTTAAGATTGCAGCCAGCCACTGCCCAAAAAAAAAAAATTAAGGTTACAGTCACTGCCCAGCCCACCTGTTTCAATTTCACCACAAATATCACAATACCACATGTTTCAATTTTCATATAAAGGAAGCAACTAACAAGTCTATCTACCAAACTATTTAATTAAAAGTGCATACAACAAAAATGAAATAAGTTAAGTTTTACAAACCAAACTTCCAAATTGTCTACCAACAACAACAACAACAACAACAACAACAAAGCCTTTTCCCACTAAGTGGGGTCGGCTTTTATATGAATCCTAGAACGCCATTGGGCTCGGTTTTGTGTCATGTCCTCCGTTAGATCCAAGTACTCAAGTCTTTTCTTAGGGTCTCTTCCAAAGTTTTCCTAGGACTTCCTCTACCCCTTCGGCCCTGAACCTCTGTCCCGTAGTCACATTTTCGAACCGGAGCGTCAGTAGGCCTTCTTTGCACATGTCCAAACCACCGAAACCGATTTTCTCTCATATTTCCTTCAATTTTGGCTACTCCTACTTTACCTCGGATATCCTCATTCCCAATCTTATCCTTTCTCGTGTGCCCATACATCCCACGAAGCATCCTCATCTTCGTTACACCCATTTTGTGTACGTTGATGGTTCACCGCCCAACATTCTGTGTCATACAACATCGCTGGCCTTATTGCCGTCCTATAAAATTTTCCCTTGAGCTTCAGTGGCCTACGACGGTCACACAACACGCCGGATGCACTCTTACACTTCATCCATCCAGCTTGTATTCTATGGTTGAGATCTCCATCTAATTCTCCGTCTCTTGCAAGATAGATCCTAGGTAGCGAAAACGGTCACTTTTTGTGATCTTCGCTAGATTGCTCCGGTCATTAGTGTGGATAAGTATATAAATGGATAGAGATAGGAAAGCAAACACAAGATGTACGTGGTTCACCCAGATTGGCTACGTCCACGGAATAGAGGAGTTCTCATTAATTGTGAAAGGTTTACACAAGTACATAGGTTCAAGCTCTCCTTTAGTGAGTACAAGTAAATGATTTAGTACAAATGACATTAGGAAATATTGTGGGAGAATGATCTCGTAGCCACGAAACTTCTAAGTACCGGAGTGTGGTATCGTCTTGACTTGCCTTATCTGTCTCATAGGTAGATGTGGCATCTTCTCTGGAAGTACTCTTCCTCCATCCAGGGGTGGTATCTGTAACTGGTGGAGATGCACAAGGTAATGTATCAATTTCACTTGAAGCTTACTTGTAGTTTCATGCTTGGTCAAGCGCGATACAAACCATGTAGTAGGAGTCCCCCAAGTCGCCGAGCTAGGGGATCTGCTGAAAGAGGTGAAAGACAAGGTAAGCAATCAGAGCTCCGACTGATTGTTCACATTCTCCCTATCTTGCAGGCAGCATGAAGGATAAAGAGAAGAAAAATGAGGAGAGATGATATGGGATACTTTTGCTTTTGAAGAAGTAACTTTCCACAGGCTTATTCTTGAACTGGGCTGGAGGGTTTTCTGGTTTCCTCCAGAGTATAAGGCCGACTGAAGAATTTGAGGGTCAAAACAAGTCCATCAAATCTAGAGTACGTTCGACCCTGCTGATATGGGATACTTTTGCTTTTGACAGAGTAGTGGATGTATCGGCACGTGTGCTGTTACGCTTGTCTCCACATGCTTCCTTGTATCCTTCTCACTTGCCCTATCTGTTCCTCAGGCAGATGCGGTATCTTCCCTGGAAGCATAAGATGTTGAAGATGAGTACTCGAGACCAATGCCAGGTAAGTAATCAGGTAAGAGGTTCCCGGCAGTCAGTTCCTGGCTGGAAGCTTGATTCCAAGTGCTGACTGATTGCTCTCTTTCTCCTTGTCTTGCAGGTAAGAACAAGGCCAAAGGAAAAGACAGGGAAAAAGAATGATATGGGATACTCTTGCTTTTAACCCTGATGATATGAGATATTCTTGCTCTAGTATAGCTTGTTTATAGAGGTATTATCGGGGGGAAAGAAAGCTGAATATTTCGAAAGGCTTCGTTGGGAGTGCCCTCTCAGATAAGAGAAAGGGTTGAGCATTTTTGCAGGTCTGCCTATCCGTTAGGGATGGAGGTCGACATATATAGGAGTCTCCCTAACATCAAGTAATAATGCTATTCCTTTACCCTGCTTGGTTATAGCACGGTAGTGGGAGCTGCCAGCTTATCACATGTTTTAACTCTGTCAGAGCACTTTGAAAAAGTGGTCTGTGGTATCTGGAAAGCTGATGTTATGTGTGAAGATTACAGACAAGCTTTATCCAAGGAGATCCAGCTCTTGAAGTTGGGAAAGTGGTGCCTTTTCGGTTTTCGAACAAGCAATCCTGTCGGGGATCTGGCTCTCGAGATTCGGAGAACGATGCCTCTTCGATTTTTGAGAAAGCAATCCTGCTGGGGGTCTGGCTCTCGAGATTCGGATAGCGGTGTCTCTTCGATTTTTGAGAAAGTAATCATGTTGGCAGTCTGGCTCTCGAGATTCGGAGGGCGGTGCCTCTTTGATTTTGGAGCAAGCAATCTTGTTGGGAGTGTTTTCTCGAATGTGAGTAAAGGTTGGGCATGTTTGCTAGTCTACCTTGCCACGAAGCACAGAGGTTGACACACCGGGACTTTCCAATTATCCAGCAGTGGTACTGTTCCTTTACCCTTGTGGGTAATAATATGGTAGCTAGACCTTCAAAATTTATGTGTCTAAACTTTGTTAGTGTTGTTTCTTTGCAATTCTTTTACCCTTCTTGGTCAGAGCGATGTAGTGGGAGCTGCAAGCTTCACGTGTCTCAACTTTGTCAGAGAACTTTGGCAAAGTTATCTGTGGTACCCATGAGCTACTGTTGCGTGTGGGAAGTGGGTGATTGAACAGTACGATTCATGTGCTTTCTACTTCGCCAGAAATCTTCGACAGAATGCCCATAATTTCCGCAAAGCTGAGTGTGCGTGTGACAGGTGCTGACAAGGCTGGAAAAGTAGGTGCCTCTTCGATTTCTGAGATCGGCCCTCGTGGTCTCTGAGCAGCCCAGCTTTTGAGAAAGCAAGCCTCTTCGATTTCTGAGATCGGCCTTCGTGGTCTTTGAGCAGCCCAGCTTTTGAGAAAGCAAACGCCTCTTCGATTTCTGAGATCGACCCTCGTGGTCTCTGAGCAGCCCAGCTTTTGAGAAAGCAAACGCCTCTTCGATTTCTGAGCAGGCGCCTCTTCGATTTCTGAATCTTCGTCGAGTGCAGATTTTTATAGGGGCTGACATTAAGTTCCAAAGCACACTTGAATATCCACCAATAGAAGCTCCATTCTTGCACTTCTAAGATCTTGATTTTGTCCGACCTCTTCTCTCTTCAACACCTTTGAAAATGTCTGGCCCCTCCGACCGTCGTTTTGACTTGAACCTTGTTGAAGAGGCAGCCCCGCCTTCTCAAGACAACATATGGCGCCCATCCTTCGTCTCCCCTACTGGTCCTCTTACCGTTGGGGATTCCATGATGAAGAATGATATGACCGCTGCGGTAGTGGCCAGGAACCTTCTCACTCCCAAAGATAACAGACTACTTTCCAAACGGTCTGATGAGTTGGCTGTTAAGGATTCTCTGGCTCTCAGTGTTCAGTGTGCAGGTTCTGTGTCTAATATGGCCCAACGCCTATTTGCTCAAACCCGCCAAGTTGAATCATTGGCGGCTGAAGTGATGAGTCTCAAACAGGAGATTAGAGGGCTCAAGCATGAGAATAAACAGTTGCACCGGCTCGCACATGACTATGCTACAAACATGAAGAGGAAGCTTGACCAGATGAAGGAATCTGATGGTCAGGTTTTACTTGATCATCAAAGATTTGTGGGTTTGTTCCAAAGGCATTTATTGCCTTCGTCTTCTGGGGCTGTATCGCGTAATGAAGCTCCAAATGATCAACCTCTGATGCCTCATCCTTCTAGGGTTTTGTCCAGTACTAAGGCTCCGAATGATCCCCCTCCGGTGCCTTCTCTTTCTGGGGCTCTACCGACTGCTGAGACTTCCCCTAAGCAACCTTTGTGAAGGCTCCCTCTTGTTTGTTTATTTTGACTCAAGTATATGTACATATTTGTAACTTATCGGGGATATCAATAAATAAGCTTTCCTTCATTTCAACGTATTGTGTTAAATACACCAAAGCCTTCTTCGCTAAGTTCTTTGAATTTTCTTTTGTTGAAGCTTGTATGTTGAAGCTTTGTGAGTGGAGCATATAGGTTGAGGTAGTGTTCCCTTAATTTCCCGAGTGAGGAAAACTTCTCGGTTGGAGACTTGGAAAATCCAAGTCACTGAGTGGGATCTGCTATATGAATCTTAGAACGCCATTGTGTTCTGTCCTGTGTCATGTCCTCCGTTAGATCCAAGTACTCTAAGTCTTTTCTTAGGGTCTCTTCCAAAGTTTTCCTAGGTCTTCCTCTGCCTCTTCGGCCCTGAACCTCTGTCCCATAGTCGCATCTTCTAATCGGAGCGTCAGTGGGCCTTCTTTGCACATGTCCAAACCACCGTAACCGATTTTCTCTCATCTTTCCTTCAATTTCGGCTACTCCTACTTTACCCCAGATATCCTCATTCCTAATCTTATCCTTTCTCGTGTGCCCACACATCCAACGAAGCATCCTCATCTCCGCTACACACCCATTTTGTGTACGTGTTGATGCTTCACCGCCCAACATTCTGTGCCATACAGCATCGCCGGCCTTATTGCCGTCCTATAAAATTTTCCCTTGAGCTTCAGTGGCATACGGCGGTCACACAACACGCCGGATGCACTCTTCCACTTCATCCATC